TAGCAGGTGTAGGAGAGTAATAGAAATCCAACAGACCCAACAGTCATGACATGCATGCTGCTGATTCTGTGTAATTGAATCACTCATTGAAAGGGGCATGTTCAGAATAATAGCCGTGTGGAGTTCTATTAGTGAGGTCATTCATTCTTTGAAAAACAGGTGGCAATTATTGCCCTTATTTAAGGAAGGAAGGCAGCAAATGGTGTACATGCTGGTTACAGTGCATTTCTCTCTGAAATTCTGAGGAAAATGGGTCATTCCAGACATTGTTCAGAAAAACAGCGTACCTTGATTAAAAAGTTGATTGGAGAGGGGAAAACATATAAAGAAGTGAAGAAAATGATCGGCTGCTCAGCTAAAATGATCACAAATGCTTTAAAATGGCAACCAAAACCTGAAAGACGTGGAAGAAAGTGAAAAACTACCATTCGAATGGATAGAAGAATAGCCAAAATGGCGCGGACTCAGCCAACAATCAGCTCCAGGAAGATGAAAGAAGGTGTAAAGTTCCCTGTGAGGACTGTTACAATTAGAAGACGCCTATGTGAAGCCAAGCTATCTGCAAGAAGACCCCGCAAAGTCCCACTGTTGGAAAAAAGACATGTGCTGAAGAGGTTACAATTTGCCAAGGAGCACATTGACTGGCCTAAAGAGAAATGGCGCAACATTTTGTGGACTGATGAAAGTAAGATTGTTCTTTTTGGGTCTAGTGGCCGGAGACAGTTTGTCAGACGACCCCCAAACACTGAATTCAAGCCACAGTACACTGTGAAGACAGTGAAGCATGGTGGCGCAATCATCATGATATGGGGATGTTTCTCATACTACGGTGTTGGGCCTATTTATCGCATACCAGGGATCATGGATCAGTTTGAATACATCAGAATACTTGAAGAGGTCATGCTGCCTTATGCTGAAGAGGAAATGCCCTTGAAATGGGTGTTCCAACAAGACACGACCCCAAACACACCAGTAAACGTGCAACATCTTGGTTCCAGACCAACAAGATTGACGTTATGGAGTGGCCAGCCCAATCCCCGGATCTTAATCCAATAGAAAACTTGTGGGGTGACATCAAAAATGCAGTTTCTGAGGCAAAACCAAGAAATAGAGAAGAACTGTGGAATGTAGTCCAATCATCCTGGGCTGGAATACCTGATCACAGGGGCCAGAAGTTGGGTGACTCCATACAACACAGATGTACAGCAGTTCTCATAAACAGTGCGACTACAACCAAATATTCATTAAGTGATTCAAAGGAAAGCAAAATCTTCCAACATTTTTCAGTTTATATAGTGAATGTTTGAGTTTGTAAAGAAGAATACAAACACTGCTATTTTTTTTGAACCGTCTAATATTCACTTTTTCTTCAATTTTTTTAGAGGAACAACACAAATTTGATCTATTTTTCTTCATGTTTTGATTTGGAATAGAACGTGTCGTGTTCCCAATGCATTTGTGTGGATGGAAATAAAAGCTATTAGAAGGATTTTGAGCTTTATTCACTTTTTTCAACACACTGCTATTGTTTTGAACACAACTGTGTATACATATATATATATATACATACAAAAAAGCAAATAAAGGGATAGATAAATGCATTCACTAATGTGAATGTACAATATATATGTAAAGTGTGATGGATCTTCCAGGTGCAAACTCATCTCTGCTATGGAACTCCCAGGACTGTGCTGGGAGTCACCTCCTTGTTAAGTACATCTCTCCCGGGGACCCTCCAGGGAATCAGACTCACACAGGGATCTCCAGCCTGGTCTAAAAGGCCTTTTGCAATCCGCCCTAACCCCCACCTCCATAAGGGACAGGAAGACATAGCTGACTCTTCCTGTGTATAGGTCCACTCCACCTGGCCTCCTGCCCTGTCCAAGGCCTACATGTACTGGTTACATCCACATAAGTATAGGGTGCTCCTCCCTACCTAATGTATTTCTGGGTGCTGACTCACCCCTGGCATCTCTGAGGAGGGCTCTACCTAAAAGGGGACCTAACACCTGATGACACTGTCTACTGTGATCAGACACTATTTGGGTAGAGGGCCGCCTAGTGGCGAAGTAGCTAACTGCACCTGGCTACAGATTGGCAGAGGGTGTAGTGCTGAAACACAGGAGACAGGGGCCATCAGAAAAGTGAGTATAATACCGCTGTGCTTTTGGATCCTTTTTTTTTTTTTTTAAATACTGAAAATGACTTTCCAAACCACGTAAAAATGTTAAAACTTGTGATGACCCGCATTGACCCAACGTGGAAAAAGACAGGTCATCGCACATGTATGAATGAGTCCTTAAAGAAGAGCTCCACTCAAAAGGGAAGTTCCGCTTTAATGCTTTGCCCCCGCTCCCCGTTAAGGATTGGCACCTTTAGGGAGCGGGTGCCCAAATTTGACAGGTACTTGCTCCCACTTCCGGTGTGATCGCCTAAGGCGATTGGAAGCTGAAGTTGTCCTCCCCTCCTCCTTCCCTATAGTCTTGTGGGACATGTGACAGGTCCCAGAAGACTACAGGACCATTCACAAAGTGCAGCGCTTCTGACGCATGCGCAGTGGGCACCCGGCTGTGAAGCCGCAAGCTGTCACAGTCGGGTGCCCACACTAAAGATGCCGGCGCTGGAGAAAGAAAACGACCAGTGAAACCAGCCGTGGACACCGCTGGACCGAGGGACAGGTAAGTGGCTGTATTTTACAAGTCAGAACCTACAGTTTTTGTAGCTGCTGACTTTTATTTTTTTTTTTATTCAACTGTAAGAATGAGATCAGTAATGGCAACCCCATATTCCTTTTTTGACAGTTTTACTTTTACATGAGTCATTCCCAATGCTTTGCTCCTTGAATTGCAGTACCAGAGTTTTCACTTGAGTTAAGAAATATGAAAAAGAGTTTCCAACTGTGAAGACAAAAGAGACGTGAAGAAGAAAGGGAAGGAAGTATGAGTTAAAAAGATGGAAGCTGCAAGGGGTAAGAAGTTTTTATCTTATGGCCCCCGCCGCCCCCACTCCTACACTGCTGTTGGCAGGGCCTTTAATACTGATTGGACCCTGGGCAAACATTTTCTTGCCCCCTCATGCAATTTTGCCCTCCACCATCTGAGACAAACAATAATTAGCAGCTAGACTAAAAATCAGTTTACTGCAGCAGATCAGGCAGTGATTGCAAATGGTTGCCGGAGGTTACAGCATGTTATTCCTGCTCACTGACTGGTTGCTAGAGATTATAGCACACACTACAGCTCACGGATTAGTTGCTAGAGGTTAATGCACATCATTACTGCTCACTGATTGGTTGCTAGAGGTTACAACACATCATTACAGCTCACTGATTGGTTGCTAGAGGATACAGGACATCATTAGGGCTCACTGATTGGTTGCTAGAGGATTATTATTATTATTATTATTATTATTATTATTAATACATCGAGTTTATATAGCGCCAAAGGGTTTGCTTAGTGCTGTACAATAGAGGGGGGGACAAGACATGAAACAGTACAGCAAAAACAAACAGCACACGAGGGGTTAGAGGGCCATACTCTTTCGAGCTTACAATCTAGGAGGGAGGGTGTAGTGGTACAGGAGGAAGTGGCTGTGGGGGATGGAGTGGTAGGAGGAATGAAGGAGAATGGCTGTTAGGTGAGGGTGAGGTAGGATTCCCTGAAGAGGTGGGTTTTCAGGGAGCGCAAGGATACAGGACATCATTAGGGCTCAATGATTGATAACCTCTGCACCCCAAATTTCTCCACTATAGCCCCTCCCTAACTCTAAATGCCTGCTCTGCTCATCTATGCACCCACCTATTTTACCTCTGTACATTCCCTCCTTGCTCACCTGTGCACCCCAAACTGTAATTCCTTCTCTACCTACCTCTACACACACCCTACCTGCACCACTTTGCTTACATTTTCAGAACAGGCTGATGGTAGACTCGGTGACCAGGTTGCAGGCAAGACTTTCAAGCATTCCCGTTTACCTCCTCAGTGGGCAGCATTCAGCAGAGGTGAAGGTGGGTGGAACTATACATATGAATGCCGTCACTATTTACATATCAATGCTGGTTATTTCCACGTAAATACTGACAGGATCTGGGTCATCTGTACACTGCAAACCAATGTAAACCAGGACAATTGGCAAATATGGGGTAGCTGCTTCGGGCCCCACAAAAATGACTGTGCCTAGGGCAGCTACCCCTTTTGCCCTGCCCTAAAGACGGCCCTGGCTGTTGGAAGAATTCAACAGCTGACCCAAGGAAACCATATTCCTTTAAACAGATAAGGGGAGATTTACTGGAGGACCGAGGCAGGGAGATGCGATGTTTTCAGGAAGCTTTGTACATTACCCTGCCAGCCCCTCCTACCAGTCATGATCTGCCTGCATTTTACAGAGAAGCACTGAGACCCAGTAATGACATTACTAGGTCCAAAATAAGGTATGTAATGAAAACATATATATATATATATATTTTTTTTTTTAAATAAAACCAAACATTAGTGTGTTGATGAAAGGGGAAAAAAGGAAGCAGCAAACTATAAGCAGATTAAACTTCAGCATTAGAAGTTTAATTTAATGTTGTAAGAGCAGCTTCATACTGGCAGAATGGCAGAGTCCGGTGACCAGTACACTCTTCAGGTCGCTTGTCCTGTAATTGTTGTTGTAGCTCAGCAGACACTGAATAACAGACACATAAAAGGGAATATGGGGGGGGTCTGTAGACTGGAAATCCACAAATGATGTATTATGGTGAAAAATCATAATCAGCAAGCTTTTATTCTATGAAAATGTCAGATGCACTTTACATGAAATGTTACATTACCATAAAATGAATATTGAACTAAATATATTCAGCTTACATCTACAAAGTAGAATAGAAAAAATATAATACAGTTTATGGGTGGTTTGGCAGAGGTGCCCGTCCCAATAGATCCCCCGGTGACAGGTGTCCCCATGAAGAGCAGAGTTCCGTATTCTTACACCCCCTCTTGTGCTAAGTTTGGGAATCGTTATTTGCTAGCAACTGCAGACAGCTGATCTCTTATCCTGCCTAATCCGTCCAGCATGGTGTCCAGGGTTTCTTTGCTGAGTTCCATGGTCAGTGTGGATGTCGCTGGGTCCAGCCCACACAGATCTGGGTCCTCTTGAATCTAACAAAGACACAGGGAGACATACATGACATATGGAACCCATTCATTCGCTAAACACTAATGGAAGGGAATGGTATTTGCTACATTTTGGAAAAATGAACAGCAATTATTGGCAGTTTTCTCTTGAAAAGAGTTCAACGTACATTCATTAGCCTCTTCCTGCCCAACCCCGGCACTACTATAGCAAAGTCTTTACACCTGATGGGGAGCGGGAAGGACCAGCCAATCACGTGATCATTGTGATTGGCTGTCACAGTGGTCACTTGATCAGGAGCCAGTCCTTATCTGTCTCAAAAAAATGCTAAAAAATTCATATGGGTACAATGTTGCATGACCGCACAATTGTCATTCAAAGTGTGATAGCACTGAAAGCTAGAGGTGGTGAAAGCGTCCGGACTGGAAGGGGGTGAAAGCGTCCGGACTGGAAGGGGGTGAAAGTGTCCGGACTGGAAGGGGGTGGAAGGGGGTGAAAGTGTCCGGACTGGAAGGGGGTGAAAGCGACCGGACTGGAAGGGGGTGAAAGTGTCCGGACTGGAAGGGGGTGAAAGTGTCCGGACATGAAGTGGTTAAACAATATTTGCTCATCCTGGCATTCCTCCTTAAGGACAGTGTCGCCCCCTAGGTACCGATATGAAAGTCACATATATTTACTTAGTTAATAAAGAAACCACGGCTTCCCAGACTGACACCCACCTTCATCTGTAGTAGGCACGTCGGCACAGCCATTCTAGTCACTGAATCTGATGAGGTTTTTATATCGACCCTCCAGTCCAGATCTACAAGCCGAGGCAGCGAGACTGCAATCAGAAAGGAGAGGGTTAATGGTGAGGATACAGTATACATATATAAAGCCACCAAATCAATCCAATAAAACTGTGACTTCCAGAAAATAATCGAAGGCCCCATTATTGAGATCCTCAAAACCGCTTTTTATGACCTTTGTGGCCCCTGGATTCGTTTCATGTATTTAGTGGAGTACTGAACTCTCTGTTCTGAGCAGATATTCTAATCCCTGCCAAAGGGTCTACCCAGGGCTTTCTTTCTGCCGGAACGCGGCGGTACTAAAGCTGCGTTCCGCCACCTTTTTCTTCTTGTCCCCGCTCACCGACTGCCTCTGCAGAGCTGACAAGCTATGCAGAGCAGCGAAAGTGACAGGTGCCGGACGCGGCTTGTTTATGTCATGCTTGCGCGTGCCCGGCACCTGTCACTGCCGCTGCTCACAGCCGGTGAGCGGGGACATGCACGCTTCACCCCCCCCCCCCCTCTACCGCCAGCGTGTAAACATCGGGGGCGCGGACGATGGGCGAGGACACTATGCACGCTTCACCGCCCCCCCCCGTCCGCCGGCGTGTAAACATCGGGGGCGGCGCGGCGACATCAACGGCAGTGACAGCGTGGACGCAGGGGCCCGTACAGCTTGGAGTAGGTAAGCTGCGCAGGCTCCCTGTCACTGACTGCAGTATCATGTATTGCTCTAAATTTTTACTCTCTCCCCAGCCTGTGCCCACCTAAACTATCCCAACCACCTGTGCCCACCTAAACTATCTGAGCCCACCTAAACTATCCTCACCCACCTGAGCCCACCTAAACTATTTCAGAACGCAATTGCTCAGCGCTCAGCGGCGCCGATCGAGAGCGCCCCTCCTGTGCATGAGGAACAGGAAAGATAAATTCAGTGATGGACGGTATTTTTGGGAGGAAAAGGTGGCAACCCTAGGGGAGCCTGTAGGAGCAGGCACATCTACCAGACAGGGTACACATGCATGCTAGACTGATTTTATATCTATGCTGGACGTTTACAAACGGCCTGCCATGATTTTATATCTATGCATGTGTTCCTGGTGTCAGTACGGTACTGATTTTATATCTATGCGTGTGTTTCTGGTGTCAGTAACGGTACTGATTTTTATATCTATGCATGTGTTTCTGGTGTCAGTACGGTACTGATTTTATATCTATGCGTGTGTTTCTGGTGTCAGTACGGTACTGATTTTATATCTATGCATGTGTTTCTGGTGTCAGTACATTAGTCATTTTATATCTATGCATGTGTTTCTGGTGTCAGTACGGTACTGATTTTATATCTATGCGTGTGTTTCTGGTGTCAGTACGGTATTCATTTTATATCTATGCATGTGTTTCTGGTGTCAGTACATTAGTCATTTTATATCTATGCATGTGTTTCTGGTGTCAGTACATTAGTCATTTTATATCTATGCATGTGTTTCATGCAGATCATGCAAGAGGCAGCCGGGGGTCCCGATGACATCATTTCCCTTATATGGTATGTACGGGAAATGATGTCATCGGAAGCCCCTCCCAAATTTTACTTGCATTCCTGTTCTCTAAAGGGGTGGTCCTAGGGTTTGATGGGGGCGTGGCCAGGTTTGGGTGGGGGAGTTCCACCACCTTTCCTCTGAGAAAAAAAGCCCTGGGTCTACCTAGAAAAAAATGCCCTGGAGCAAATTGAGACCCTCACTAGAAGGAGGTGGGCGATATTCCTCATCTCCGGACGCTTGGAAACATTATGGGGTGTCCATAAAGGATGCCAATTACTACTGTACAGGTGGGTGTCATTGTTCTGCTCCCGTCCCTCCCCTTCGTATGGGACCTTAGCCCTATGTTTGTGCCCCCCTTCCTTCCCATCCTTTACTACCCCTTACTCCCCCCACCCCCAATCAATTTACTGTCCCTCCTCCAGCCCCCCCCCCCCCATTCCTATATTTTCCCTCTTTTCTCCTATACTTTTCTTCCCCCCATTCCCTCCCATCCTATATATTCCCCATTCCTATAGCGTCCCTCTTCCTTCTTCTCTTACCCCCCCCCCCCCCCCTTTCCCCTATCCTTTTCCTATCCCCTCCCCATCCCCCCTTCTCATTTCAATATTGTCCACGTCTCCACTTCTCTTAACCCCCCACAATTCCTATATCATCCATCTCCCATCTTACCTTACTTGCCTCCAACTTTTTCCCTATCCTTTTCTTACACCCACCCAGGGGCGGACTGACAACTCATGGGGCCCCCGGGCAATAGGGGATTGTGGGGCCCCTGTGTCCTTGCCCAAATTAAAAAAGACTATGAAAAAGGTACCAGGGGCATCTCATGGGGCCCCCTACTGACCCCGGGCCCTCGGGCAGTGCCCAAGTTTCCAAATGGTCAGTCCGCTCCTGCCTCCACCCCATCCTTAAAGTGTTACTAAACCCACAACAGTAAAATCAGTCTGTATCTGCAGTAAAGCATGCTTGTTATACTCACTGTGGAACCTAAGGGATTAATCCTCCGCATTGTGCAAAAATGAAAATGAAAGCAGCCCTATCCTATTATGCCCGGTGTATTGCTTCACACTGGCCTGAAGATCTCTTCTTCCCTGCTGCTGGGCACCACTCTGGAGACTGCTAGCCGGGATAAGAGGTGGAGTGCAGTTGGTGTTACTCCACATGGGACAGGAGCCGGCACTACAGAGGAGGAATCGGCTTATGCAGCTCTTGCCCCAGACTACAGCTCCAACTACAAGTAGTCCCTCTGCATTGCACTCTGATGCTCTGGGATGGGGGGTCAGCAAGCCCAGACCGAGATCTACCGGTCACCTGGCTGAGATCTACTGGCTGCTGACCCCCAATCTATGGGCTGCTTTACCCACCACGTAATGATCCCTTGTCATATTTGGATGTCTATTGTGCCCCTTGTGCTCCTCTTTTCATATCTTTTTGTCTTTAATAAAAATCTTATTATGTAAACCCCGTGACTTTCTTCTCTATTATGCATTTGAAGAAGACGGGAAAATGTGCACTTACTGCTGGTGTTCTGAGCTTCGTTCCTCCATGTAGACCTGTAGATAAAACACAGGAAAAGAAGAGTGAAACCCAAAGTATAATATATTTTCCATGTCTCTGGCATTGTTCCTGCATACAGAAATCATTTTTTTGTTAATCTGTTACAAAGTTCCCTACCTGGGATTCTCGACAGAATCATCACTACTACTGCTGAAGGTTGACACCACTAAGCCACTGCCTCACAATTAGCAGATGTGTTGTCAGCCTAGCATGTGTGCTCCTTCAGCAGGCAAATGGGCTGCCTATTACCCCAGGTTCAAACCTAAGTGTTTACTGCCGCGTTTTGCAAAAACGCAATACAGTACATTTAACATGATTTCTTATGGGACACATTCACATCTCCGCGTTTTCACCCGGTGCGTTTTTTGGAAGGAGTCAGGGACTTTTTTGAATGCAAAACATTGCGTTTTTGGTTCTATAGACTGCAATGGGAATGCTGCAGAAAAGCATGTAGTGCATTTTTGCTGCGTTCTGCATTTAAAATCTGTCTAGCAACAAGAAGTAAAAAAAAAACAATACACAAAACGCATCACAAACACGTCAAAAACGCAAGTGCAAAAATGCTAAACGCAATACAGAAACGCCTAAAACGCAACCTGCAGAGAGGTGTGACCCTAGACTTAGACTTCTCAACTGCCAACTATGGCTAAAGTTACACATTTTTAATGCTATGAAGCAAGTCATAAAAGTAATCAGGGGCAGACAGAACAGGGATGAGCTGTTATTATTATGCAGGATTTATATAGCGCCAACAGTTTGCTCAGCACTTTACAATATAAGGGAGACAATACAGCAACAATACAGTTCAATACAAGAAGGTTAGGAGGGCCCTGATCCTCGGAGCTTACAATCTAAGAGGGAGGGGCTAGTGCTACAAAAGGTAGTAACTGTGGGGGATGGACTGGTTGGAAGAGTAGAAGATTCCAGTATTAGCTGAGGGCAGGATAGGCTTCCCTGAAGAGATCGGTTTTCAGAGATCGCCTAAAAGTGAGCAGAGTAGGCGATAGTCTGAAAAATTGGGGTAGAGAGTTCCAGAGGATGGGGGAAGCTCTGGAAAAGTCCTGGAGATGAGCAAGGGAGGAGGAGACAATGGAGCTAGAGAGCAGGAGGTGGAGCAGACGATTTCGTTGATATTTAGAAACAAGATCGGTGATGTAATTTGGGGCAAAGTTATAATTGGCTTTATATGTTATTGTTAATGTTACCATTTACCTATATCTAAGGTACAAAGTCCTATGAAGTTTACTGTTGCACAGCCTGGTATTTAGTATAAGTGTCCTATATTTTTGAATCCAAGTCTGCAATGGCTCTGTCACCACCGTCTGAGTCCTTTGTGGTATTTCCACAGTAATACATACAGAGAAGAAGACTGTACAATTCAAAATCATGTGACAAGGCATTGAAGACGAGTCCAGAAGAATTAATTCACACTGATGGTTGGGGGGGGTGGTAACACTGCGGTTGAGCTATGCTTTTACCACCTTTTAATTGCTACCTGCTTTAACAGTGGCCAGGGGTGTACACATGAAATGCAGCACAGTGGCTAAATGGTTAGCATTTCCGCCTGGCAGTACTAGGGTCATTGGTTCAAATCCCAACCACGGAACCACCTGCCTGTCCATGGGCGTCAGGGCTTTAACACCCACATTCTGCACATAACGTGTCCATGGGCGGCAGAACTTTCTATGTTCCCAGCATAGTGATTGAGCTGTCAAAGACGACTCTTGATCTTTACTAGTGGGACTGGCTCCTGATCAAGTGACCACTGTGACAGCCAATCACAATGATCACGTGATTGGCTGGTCCTTCCCGCTCCCCCTCAGGTGTAAAGACTTTGCTATAGTCCAAAGACATGCTGGTAGGTGACTTGGCTCCTGTCTAAATGGGCCCTAGTATGTGTATGTATGAATGTGAGTTAGGGACCTTAGATTGTACGCCCCTCGGGGGCGGGGACTGATGTGAATGTACAATATATATGTAAAGTGCTGCGTAAATTGACGGCGCTATATAAGTATCTGAAATAAATAAATGCGTCCACCAAACACAACCTATTCAAGTGAATGGGGCTGCTCTGAATGCGCCCTGAAACGGCATGCAATGCACATGGTTGTGGCGTGCTGGTGCGGGGTTCAAGGGGTTAAAGCAGGCGGCAGGGAGGTGAGCCAACACATCCTCGCTGCCTGTTAGATGCTCTCTGAGAAGTGATCTGAATGTAGATCACTCTTCAGAAAGCATAGATAGTGTGGATAAGCCCTAAATCTGCACACACTGGGATTCACGCATCTAAAATGAAACATATGTAAAGCCAAAGCCTTAGGACATTTACAAATCTGCAGCTTTTATTCCAATAAGACCTGGTGATCCTGCCATGAAGGTCCTGGTTCAGGCACTTCCTAGAAAGGGGTGAAAACTCTCTGTCCCTGTGTATTTGTTTCCTTGCATCGTCGCCCTGTCACTACATGCAGCGGATGTAAACAGGGGGCACAATTGGGAAACAAGGACACACCCTACAGAAGGAAGTGCCTGAACAAGAATCTTCATTGCAGGAGCAGCACATATTTTATACTATTTTAATAAATGCTGAAGATATATAGAATATAATGGTTAGACTCACCTCTGCTCTGATCCAGTGGTGGGTCTCCCCTACTCCCCCTCTATGGGAGTTTTACATGGAGCTCCAGTACCGTGGCCACTCAGAAAAGCTGTTTTTTTAAACTGTGAAGTGGCATATGGTTCAAGAAACCCTTCACTACACCTAAGCCATGCCCCTGTGCTGCCAGAGTCCTGCCTGCATCCTCATGCCTCATTGTCTTCTGTGCCTGCGGCATCAGCCTCCTCTGTACCTCCGGAGTCCCACCGTGCTTTAGAGTCCTTGAGCTTCATCCATGCCTGCCTCCAGACCACAGTGTTTTCCACCACGCTTCCTCAGCTGTCAGTGTTCACAGTTCCTCTGATTTCAGTGTTACCCCAGTTCATCCTGTGTCTTCTTGTGACCCCAGTGTGCCTTGAGACTCCAGTGCATTCAGTGTGGCCTCTATCATCTGGTGACCCCCACTGCACCCCTGTGCTCCTCGTGACTCCAGTGTGCCCCCGAACATCCCGTGCCATCTTGAGACTCCAGTGCATCCCAGGGCATCCAGTGACCCAATGCATCCTGTGACTAAAGTGCACCCTAATAAATAATATGACATCTGGTAACTCCAGTGCACCCCTCGACTCCAATGCACCCCAGAGCACCCGTGTCATCTTGAGATCCTACTTCACCCTGTCACTAAAGTGCACTCCAGAGCATCCTGTGTAATCTAATGACCTCAATGCACACCATGACTTCTGTGAACCCCAAAGCATCCTGTGTCATCTAGTGACCTCAATGCACCCCATGACTTCTGTAAACCCCAGAGCATCATGTGTCATCTAGTGACCTCAATGCACCCCATGACTTCTGTGAACCCCAAAGCATCATGTGTCATCTAGTGACCTCAATGCACCCCATGACTTCTGTGAACCCCAGAGCATCATGTGTCATCTAGTGACCTCAATGCACCCCATGACTTCTGTGAACCCCAAAGCATCATGTGTTATCTAGTGACCTCAATGCACCACCATGACTTCTGTGAACCCCAGAGCATCATGTGTCATCTAGTGACCTCAATGCACCCCATGACTTCTGTGAACCCCAATGCATCACGTGTTATCTAGTGACCTCAATGCACCCCATGACTTCTGTGAACCCCAGAGCATCATGTGTCATCTAGTGACCTCAATGCACCCCATGACTTCTGTGAACCCCAGAGCATCATGTGTCATCTAGTGACCTCAAAGCACCCCATGACTTCTGTAAAACCCCAGAGCATCACGTGTCATCTAGTGACCTCAATGCACCCCATGACTTCTGTGAACCCCAGAGCATCATGTGTCATCTAGTGACCTCAATACACCCCAGACTTCTGTGAACCCCAGAGCATCACGTGTCATCTAGTGACCTCAATGCACCCCATGACTTCTGTGAACCCCAGAGCATCCGTGTCATCTAGTGAGCTCAATGCACATGACTTCTGTGAACCCCAGTCTAGTGACCTCAATGCACCCCATGACTTCTGTGAACCCCAGAGCATCATGTGTCATCTACTGACCTCAATGCACCCCATGACTTCTGTGTGAACCCCAAAGAATCATGTGTCATCTAGTGACCTCAATGCACCCCATGACTTCAGTGAACCCCAAAGCATCATGTCATCTAATGACCTCAATGCACCCCATGACTTCTGTGAACCCCGGAGCATCATGTGACCCTAGTACACTACAGTGAGCCCAGTGACTCTAGTGCACCCCCATGTCATAATGTGATCCCAGTGTGCCCCAAGATTCCAGTGCACCCCAGAACATCTGGTGTCATCTAGTGACCTCACTGCACCCCATGACTTCTGTGTACCTCACAGCATCCTGTGTCCTCTAGTGAGCTCAATGGGCCACTGTGCGCCCTGTGACTAAAGTGCACCTAGAGAATGACATCTGGTGCAGCCTGTTACTCCAATGCACCTTAAAGCGTCTTGTGTCATCTTGTGACCCTAGTGCGCAACTGTGCGCCCCATGTCCGCAATGCACCCAGAACATCCTATGTTATCTATTGACCCCAGTACACTTTGGGAGTTCAGTGCACCCCAGAGCAATCCTGTGTCACTTGGTCACTCCAGTGCACCCCATGACTCCAATGCATCCCAAAGCACCCTGTGTCACCTTGTGACTGCTCTGCGCAACACTCCAGAGTATCCTGCGTCATCTGGTGATTCCAGTGCACCCCACTCCTGTGTTATCTGGTGATTCCAGTGCACCCCATAGCATCCTGCGTCATCTGGTGATTCCAGTGCACCCCATAGCATCCTGCGTCATCTGGTGATTCCAGTGCACCCCATAGCATCCTGCGTCATCTGGTGATTCCAGTGCACCCCATAGCATCCTGCGTCATCTGGTGATTCCAGTGCACCCCATAGCATCCTGCGTCATCTGGTGATTCCAGTGCACCCCATAGCATCCTGCGTTATCTGGTGATTCCAGTGCACCCCATAGCATCCTGTGTTATCTGGTGATTCCAGTGCACCCCATAGCATCCTGCGTCATCTGGTGATTCCAGTGCACCCCATAGCATCCTGTGTTATCTGGTGATTCCAGTGCACCCCATAGCATCCTGTGTTATCTGGTGATTGCAGTGCATCCCATAGCATCCTGTGTTATCTGGTGATTGCAGTGCACCCCATAGCATCCTGTGTTATCTGGTAACCAAGTGTGCCCTGTCACTCCAGTGCACTGCAGAGAATCCTGCGACATCCAGGGAACTCAGTGCACCACTGTGCGCCCTGTGACTAAAGTGCACCCCAGAGAATCCTGTGTCATCTGGTGACTCTATTACATCCCATGAGTCCAATGCACCCCAGCAGGGGCGGACTGACAACTCATGGGGCCCCCGGGCAATAGGGGATCATGGGGCCCCTGTGTCCTTGCCCACACTCAAAAAAGCCTATGAAAAAGGTTCCAGGGCATCTCATGGGCCCCCTACTGACCCCGGGCCCTCGGTCAGTGCCCAAGTTTCCAAATGGTCAGTCCGCCCCTGCACCCCAGAGTATCTTGTTCATTCAGTGACCCCAGTGTGCCACTCTGCACCTGGTGACTTCAGTGGACCTCCAAGCATCCTGTGTCTTCTAGTAGTGTAACTCCATGCAGTTGTCTGACTTACTGTGAGCTGGGCTGGATTTACATTTCATGAGCCCCCCCCCCCCCCCAAAAAAAAACCCCAGCAATAATCAACACACTCGCCCCTAAGCATAAATTCCTTCTGCAATTTAAAATTCTCCACCAAGAAAAATGCTAAATTCCCCATTCTCACTGTCCAAATCCCCCTCTCAGCACACATCTTTGCCCTCCACTCCCACCTTCCAGCTCAGATCCCCCCAAATTCCCCACAAATCAGCCCTCCTAGCACACATCCTCTTTCCTTCTAAATCTCCCCTCCTAGCATAAATTCTCCCCCCAAATACCCCCTCCTACCTTAAATCCTCTCCCCCAAATATTTTACCCCCTCCTAGCACAAATCATCTCCCCCAAATCCCCCCTCTTAGCACAAATCCTCTCCCCCAAATCCCCCCTCCTAGCACAAATCATCTCCCCTGAATCCACCCTCCTAGCATGAATCCTCTCCCCCAAATTCCCCCTCCTAGCACAAATCCTCTCCCCCAAATTCCCCCTCCTAGCACAAATCCTCTCCCCCAAATTCCCCCTCCTAGCACAAATCCTCTCCCCCAAATTCCCCCTCCTAGCACAAATCCTCTCCCCCAAATTCCCCCTCCTAGTGTAAATACTCCCCCCAAATCCCCAGTCCTGCATAAGTTCTCCCCCCAAATCCACCCTCCTAGCACAAATCTTCTCCCCTATATCCCTCTTCCTACTACAAATCCCCTCAAATCCATCCGCTTAGCACAACCCTCTCCAAATTACTCTACCCAGCACAAATCGCTGTGCCCCCCCTCCCCAATTCTCAAATCTTCTCCAATTCTGCCCCCTAACACATACATCCCCTCCCATTCCTCCTTCTAGCACAAATTCCTACCCTCCCCATTACGTTTCCCAGTACAAACACCGCTCCCCCCCCCCCCCCCAATCTTACAGACATAATGAAGAGGTGCGAGCTCTCTGTGCCCCCGCCCCCCCCGGCCTTCCATGAACATTGCACCCACATCCACTGCAAGTCCAGACAGGAGAAGTGTCAGTGAGGAGAGAGATTGATCACCCGTCCCCCCCCTCTCCTCTGAACACTGATCATCTCCCGGAACTGTGGATGAAGGGTGGGTAGTTAAGCCGTGTTCTGTCCGATCTAAGAGGATCCTGTGCAATCCCCTGTATGGAGGAGCACAAAACTGACAGGAGCGGGGCGAGCACAGAGATCCTGCACCTCCACCCAGCTATCTTCTTGCTGACAATTCTCCTGTCTGGATTTGCAGCGGGTGTGGGTACAGTGTTAATGGGGGGGCCAGCCTAGGGAAGGGGGCACAACTGAAACCTGGGGAAAAGGGAGCACAGCCCACCCCAGCAGCACCCCCTTAGGTCCAACCATGTACAGACAGGTACCCCTCTAGGAAGGGCACCTGTGGGCACGTGCCTACAGTGCCTAATGAAGAATCTGGCCCTGACTGACAGTGCTCTCCACTGCCGCTCTACCCTCAGGTACACTCCGGCAGCCAACCGGATTGTCGTTTTCTCAGTGAATACAAACTCCTGTCCAACACAGAAACTTCTGAAATAACATTAACTGCTTCCCGTCCGCCCTATAGCAGTAATACTACTACATATATATGTGATTCTGCATTTCTGGGTAGGGGGCGCGCGAACCTCTTGAACGCACCCTACCAGCGTTGCTGTTCGCAGCCTTGGCTGTCAATCATCAGGTGATTACTCGCTGGCACCTAGTGACTGAGGAGCATTACAGACGAAGGGAGAAAACTGTAAGTAAGCAATACAGATCTCTCCCGTCAACTCCTGCACACTGCTACGCATGGCTTTGCATAGCAGAGCCATGCAAAGCAGTGTGCTTACAGTGAAGCACACACACACAGCACACAGTAAAACAGCACACAGTTAACCCTTTGATTGCTCCACATGTTAACCCCTTCCTGCCATGTGCCATTAATACAGTTTCAGTTCTTTTTATTAGCAGTGATCACTGGGGATGTCATTGACACCAAGTCAGTTCCCCCCAGTGTCAGAAAGCCTGCCGTAGTCCCACTATCAGTCGCTGACAGCCGCCATTACTAGTAGAAAGAAAAAATCCTAGTATCTATACCGCCATTTGTAGATGCTAATAACTTTCACGTAAACCAATTAATTTACACGTATTGGGATTTTGTTTTTAGCAAAGACATGGAGCAGAATACATTTTGGCCAAAATTTATGATGAAATTGTATTTTTTTTAATTTTTTTTTTCTGGACATGTTTAATAGCAAAAAGTAAAAAAAAAAGTGTTGGTCTTTTTTTGTTTACAGCACAAAAAATAAAAACCGCACATGCAATCAAATACCGAAAAAAAAGGAAAAAATGGGGAAAAAAAAAGGACGTGAATTTCATTTAGGTGCAGCGTTGCATGACCGCGCAATTGTAAGTTAAAGTAACGCAGTGCTGTAGCGCAAAAATTGGCCTGGTCAGGAAGGGGGGTAAATCCTCTGGAGGGCGAGGGGTTAAAGCCTAAATGAGTTTGGGATCACATCCACTTTAAATAATCCTGCCTGTACCACATACTCAGGAAGAAGCACATTTGGCTCAGATATCACCCCCGAAAAGAAGCCACACTCACACATGGTCCAGGATCATTTTGGTCAGAAGGTTTTTTAGGTTCTGATGGAAGTCACCTGGGAAGACGGACAGAATCTGCTCAGCGGTTGTCAGGCCTTTGTACACCACATGCCGCGTGAGAGTGTGCAGAGCCTGCACCACCTATAAAAGGAGAAAAAGATGTAAGGAACTAAAAGATAGACTATAGAGGATGACACAAAAACACATAAAAGGCCCCAAGTGTGGGTGCTCAGTGCCAATACAGACAGGGGAGAATGGGAGCACCCAGCATGTTCTCCTCCTTCCCAAAGACATGAGAGATGAAACAACATACTGATGATCCTCAATACTTCTTCCTGCCAGTGGCTTAGTGTGGGTTACCAGTGCCCAGGGCAAGGCAAGTATTGTGGCCCATAACCCATAGACTGTTAGCACCCCCAGAGTCCCGTCCATTCAGGTTTGGGCACCAGTTCACAAAAAATGATAATTGGGGAACTGGAGAAAGTACAGAGAAGGGAAACCAAACTGATAAGAGGCATGGAGGAGATCAGCTATGAGGAGTGATTAGAGGAACTGAATTTCTCTCTTGAGAAGAGGAGATTAAGGGGGGGGGGTTCTGATCTATGATCTCCATGTATAATACATAAGGGGGGGGGGGGGGATATGATCTCCATGTATAATACATAAGGGGGGATATGATCTCCATATGATCTCCATGTATAATACATAAGGGGGGATATGATCTCCATGTATAATACATAAGGGGGGATATGATCTCCATGTATAATACATAAGGGGGGATATGATCACCATGTATAATACATAAGGGGGGATATGATCTCCATGTATAATACATAAGGGGGGAGATATGATCTCCATGTATAATACATAAGGGGGGATATGATCTCCATGTATAATACATAAGGGGGGATATGATCACCATGTATAATACATAAGGGGGGGATATGATCACCATGTATAATACATAAGGGGGATCTCCATGTATGATGATCTCCATGTATAATACATAAGGGGGGGATATGATCTCCGTGTATAAATACATAAGGGGGGATATGATCTCCGTATAAAACATAAGGGGGGATATATAAATACATAAGGGGGGATATTATCTCCATGTATAATACATAAGGGGGATGTGATCTCCATGTATAATACATAAGGGGGGATGTGATCTCCATGTATAATACATAAAGGGGGATATGATCTCCATGTATAATACATAAGGGGGATATGATCTCCATGTATAATACATAAGGGGGGGATATGATCTCCATGTATAATACATAAGGGGGGATATGATCTCCATGTATAATACATAAGGGGGGATATGATCTCCATGTATAATACATAAGGGGGGATATGATCTCCATGTATAATACATAAGGGGGGATATAATCTCCATGTATAATACATAAGGGGGGATATGATAATAATCCATGTATAATACATAAGAGGGATATGATCTCCATGTATAATACATAAGGGGGATATGATCTCCATGTATAATACATAAGGGGGGATATGATCACCATGTATAAATACATAAGGGGGGATATGAGCTCCATGTATAAATACATCAGTGGTTCATATAGTGAACTCGTGTAGAGTTATTCCCCCTGAGGTCATCACAGAGGACAAGGGGGCACTCTTTACGTCTGGAGGAAAAGAAATTTAATCTCCAAACACAGAAAGGTTTCTTCACAGTAAGAGCTGTGAAAATGTGGAATAGACTCCCTCAAGAGTTGGTTGTGGCCAGCTCAGTGGATTGCTTCAAAAAAAGTCCTGGATTCTTTCTTAGATACACAGAATATAACTGGATACTAACATTTATAGGTAAAGTTGATCCAGGGAATATCTGATTGCCTCTCGGGGGATCAGGAAGGAATTTTTTCCCTGCAGGAGCAAACTGGATCATGCTTCATTGGGGTGTTTTTTGGCTTCCTCTGGATCAACAGTAGGTATAGGATGGTGTATATATAGGATTGCATAAAATTATTTTATTTTTTTCTCCCCTTTTACTGGTTGAACTGGATGGACTTTTGTCTTTTTTCAACCAGACTAACTACAGTATGTAAGAAAAACATTTTATATATATATACAGTCAGGTCCATAAATATTGGGACATAGACACAATTCTAACATTTTTGGCTCTATACACCACCTCCAAACAGTTGTTTTGGCCACGCCTAATGTTTTTGCTATCTCTCTGATGGGTTTGTTTCACTGATAGTGACAGCTCTTTGGATCTCATCTTGAGAGTTGACAGCAACAGATTCCAAATGCAAATAGCACACTTGAAATGAACTCTGGACCTTTTATCTGCTCATTGTAATTGGGATAATGAGGGAATAACACACACCTGGCCATGGAACAGCTGAGAAGCCAATTGTCCCATTACGTTTGGTCCCTTAACAAGTGGGAGGCACATATGCAAACTGTTGTAATTCCTACACCGTTCACCTGATTTGGATGTAAATACCCTCAAATGAAAGCTGACAGTCTGCAGGTAAAGCACATCTTGTTCGTTTCATTTCAAATCCATTGTGGTGGTGTATAGAGCCAAAAATGTTAGAATTGTGTCGATGTCCCAATATTTATGGACCTGACTGTATATTACATAGCAGGAAATTCCGTCCCTTACTTTACCCCCAAATCCTTTTCCCCATCCAGCACAAATCTCTGTGACCCCTCTTCCCAAAACCCCCCTCTGCACACAAATCCCCTCTTCTGGCACAAATCCTCTCTCCTCTTCTAGAAAAACTGCTCCTCCCCCCAGCACAAATCCTCCCCCTTTTAACCGTCCCACCCACATCTAGCACAAATTCTCTCCCCTTCCAAACTGAACCCCAGTATAAGTCCTCTTACCAACCTCATGCCCCCCCCCCCCCACCTCAATCACTCCACTCAACATACATCAACCCACAGCACAAACAAAACTTTGTTTAAATGGTTGTAAAGGCTCAAGATTCATTCTGTGCATGATGGTAAAGCACCTTCTGTGTGCAGCTGCCCTCCAGTCCCCCCCCCCCCTAAAATTTACCTGAGCCCCATCCAATCCCGCAATGTGTAAGAGAGCCTCGGCTCTCCCGGATCTCTCCCTATTCATTGGCTGAGACAGCAGCGGTATCCATTGGCTCCTGCTACTGTCAATCACAGCCAGTGAGGATATAGCGGGGGCAGGGAAAAGCAGCACTCTGTGTGTGAATGGACACACGGATTAGCGGCTCAGGAGTGAGCCTGCTCAGGTGCCCCCATAGCAAGCTGTTTGCTCTGGGGGCACTTGGCAGGAGGGAGGGTCCAGGAGTGCCAGCAGGGGACTCAAGAAGAGGAAGATCAGGGATACAGGAGGACATTCCTCCTCTCAGCTCATGATAAACGTTGATGCCGAGGAGGAGGCCTAGCTTCTTTCAGATGTGATGTGTATTGTATCTACAGATAGCTGGCTGTTGCAGAGGGGGAGATCACCAGGAAGAGTCAGCTCCTTAGCACAGCCCCCTCTCGCCTTGTGCATCATTGCACTCTCCTCTCCTAGGAGTGTCTAATTACTGTTTGTGCTGGCCCAGCTCCTCCACCCATCTCTTAACCCTTTATGTAGCAGCCAAGGGAGAGGTGAAGGAGAGTACTATGGAGGGTCACTTGACTGACAGCTGAGTCTGCTGACATCACATCCATGATGGTGTCACCCAGCAGCAGTCTCTGGGCTTCTGGATGTCTACACCAGGGAGTGTTGTACAAATATCTAACATACATTACATGCCATACAATCCTCCGGGCAGATTTCTGTAGAAATGAATCGTCTAATGACAACCTGTCACCCTGCTTATTTGTATATACGTCCCATCACCTCCATCCTTCACCTGAGCCGCTTCCTCTGTTGTAATGGACAGACTGGAGGAAACGCTGTCCATCAAATGTTCTGAGCCAATGGAAGACCTCGGGAAGGAATCTCTGCACAGCTTCTGAACCACATCCTTCGAGGGAGCCTGAGAGACAGAGAGGGAATACAGTGTATGCAGTGCAGTGTATTATACATGTATACCCTGCACCCCTGATGACCAGCCTGGGGCCCCTTTCTAACTTAGTGAGCGGCTATTGGGGCCCTCAAAAGACAGTAGACAGTGCTTTGCTGCTTACTCACAAAAGTAAAGAAAATACATTCGTTAGACTTCAATGTGTGTACAGTGCTATGATCTCAGTGTATGTCCCGTGTATATATGATGTCAGTGTATGTCCCGTGTATATATGATGTCAGTGTATGTCCCGTGTCATATGATGTCAGTGTATATATGATGTCAGTGTATGTCCCGTGTATATATGATCTCAGTGTATGTCCAGTGTATATATGATCTCAGTGTATATATGATGTCAGTGTATGTCCAGTGTACATATGATCTCAGTGTATGTCCAGTGTATATATGATCTCAGTGTTGTCCAGTGTGTATATATGATCTCAGTGTTGTCAGTGTATGTGCAGTGTATATATGATCTCAGTGCTGTCAGTGTATGTGCAGTGTATATATGATCTCAGTGCTGCCAGTGTATATATCTCAGTGCTGTCAGTGTATGTACAGTGCATATATATGATCTCAGTGCTGTCAGTGTATGTACAGTGTATATATGATCTCAGTGCTGCCAGTGTATATATGATCTCAGTGCTGCCAGTGTATATATGATCTCAGTGTTGTCAGTGTATGTCCAGTGTATACATGATGTCAGTGTATGTACAATGTGACTATGATCTCAGTGTATATATGATCTCAGTGTTGTCAGTGTATGTACAATGTATATATGATCTCAGTGTATGTACAGTGTATATAATCTCAGTGTATGTGCAATGTATATATGATCTCAGTGTTCCATGTCCAGTGTATATGTCCCCTGTCAATGTATAAAAGGTCCAGTGTATACATGAGCTCAGTGTATGTCCAGTGTATATATGATCTCAGTGGCTATGTACAGTGTATATGCTGCCATGATTCTCAGTGTTGTCAGTGTATGTCCGAGTGTATATATGATCTCAGGAGTATGTACAGTGTATATATGATCTCAGTGTTGTCAGTGTTATGTACAGTGTATATATGATTTGCCAGTGTTGTCAGTGTTTGTACAGTGTATATATGATCTCAGTGTATATATGATGTCAGTGTATGTCCAGTGTATATGTGATGTCAGTGTATGTCCCATGTATATATGATCTCAGTGTATGTCCAGTGTATATATGATCTCAGTGTATGTACAATGTATATATGATCTCAGTGTGTGTACAGTGTATATATGATCTCAGTGCTGTGTTATGTATGTCCTGTGTATATATGATCTCAGTGTATGTCCAGTGTATATATGATCTCAGTGTATGTACAATATAGAGCATATGATCTCAGTGTATGTCCAGTGTATATATGATCTCAGTGTATGTCCAGTGTATATTTATGATCTCAGTGTATGTCCAGTGTAGGCATATGATCTCAGTGTATGTACAATGTATATATGATCTCAGTGTATGTCCAGTGTATATATGATCTCAGTGTATGTCCAGTGTATATATGATCTCAGTGTATGTCCAGTGTATATATGATCTCAGTGTATGTACAATGTATATATGATCTCAGTGTATGTACAATGTATATATGATCTCAGTGCTGTCAGTGTATATATGATCTCAGTGTATGTCCAGTGTATATATGATCTAGTGTATGTGTATATGTCTCAGTGGTATATATGATCTCAGTGTATGTACAATGTATATATTGATCTCAGTGCTGTCAGTGTATGTACAGTGTATATATGATGTCAGTGTAATATATGTAACCTGCCCCTTCCTCTCTCACCTTTAATAACAGTGTCAGTGCAGTGAACTCTCCCTCCAGCAGAGCAGACATCTTCCCTGTCATGTGACTCTGATCACATGGCCACCCATCCCCCAGTCGCAGTGCACACTGGGAAGTGTAGTTCCTGGCTCCTCCCTCGTCTCTCTCTCCTGGCAGTGCTGTGCTCAGGGATGATATTAGTGGGTTCCTGAGCACACAACACACCTCCCTCCACAATTCCTTGTCAGGCACACATGATAAACTGTCCAATCATTTCCAAGGGAGCAGAGAGCCATGCCCTAAGGAGGACTACAAGTCTCAGCATGCCTCAGACCTCCAGCTGCTGTGTGTGCCCCTCAGTGTGAGGTGTATGGATCTGTACAGGCCTGTGATGGGAGTACATTTGTCCCTTACGACTGTACTCACAACCCACCCATGTAGCAGGCATATGCCGTACCTGTGGAGGCGAGGAGTCCCTGTAGTAGTCTCTGCTACTACAGTGGTTGCCGCTGCCCTCTGGGCCCTGTGCCAGGCGGCTGCCCTGCTGCAAAGTCCCGGGGTCCCCCGCTTGGAGCAGCCGGCATCCACACAACTCTGGCCGTATTTGTAACCACTTGAAGGCCAAGCATTTTCTGTCACCTTTTCAGTATTTTTTGCTAGAAAATGACTTCTACCCAGGGGCGGACTGACCATTTGGAAATTCGGCACTGCCCGAGGGCCCGGGGTCAGTAGGGGGCCCCATGAGATGCCCCTGGTACCTTTTTCATAGGCTTTTTTGAATTTGGGCAAGGACACAGGGGCCCCATGATCCCCTATTGCCCGGGGGCCCCATGAGTTGTCAGTCCGCCCCTGCTTCTAACCCCCAAACGTTTTTTAAACAAAGACCCTGGAGAATGAGGTGGCGATCATTCAGTTTTTTATGTCGCATTATTCGCACAGCAGTTTTTTTGTTTTTTTTCAAACAATGTTTTTGGAAAAAATGCACTTTAGTGAAAAAAAACAAACAAACAAAAATGTAGATTTGTATTTTTAAAGACATACAGTATATCTGAAATGTATTTTTTAAAATATTTTTCATATATTTTGTAATAAAAACTCATTTGAACATACAGTATATATATATATTTATTTATTGAAATATATTTTAAAATATATTGAATATGGCCAAAATTGTAGCATTTCAAATATATGCCTTGTATCCCCGGCTCAGGCTGGTGGTGTCATGGTGTGGGGGATCCATCCTGCCTTCTATCACCGGTTCAGCTTGATGGTGGTGGTGTCATGGTGTGGGGGATCCATCCCGCCTTGTATCACCGGTTCAGGCTGGTGGTGGTGTCATGGTGTGGGGGGATCCATCCCGCCTTCTATCACCGGTTCAGCTTGATGGTGGTGGTGGTGTCATGGTGTCAGTCCCGCCTGTATCATGGTTCAGGTTGGTGGTGGTGTCATGGTGTGGGGGATCCATCCCGCCTTGTATCACCAGTTCAGGCTGGTGGTGGTGGTGTCATGGGGGTTCAGTCCTGCCCTTGTATCACTGGTTCAGGGTTGGTGGTGGTGTCATGGTGCAGGGGGATCCATCCTGCCTTGTATCACTGGTTCAGGCTGGTGGTGTCATGGTGTGGGGGATCCATCCTGCCTTGTATCACCGGTTCAGGCTGGTGGATGGTGGTGTCATTGTGTGGGGGATCCATCCCACCTTTTATCACCAGTTCAGGCTGGTGGTGTCATGGTGTGGGGGATCCATCCCGCCTTGTATCACCGGTTCAGGCTGGTGGATGGTGGTGTCATTGGTGTGGGGGATCCATCCTGCTTTTATCACCGGTTCAGGCTGGTGGAAGGTGGGTGACATGGTGTGGGGGATCCATCCTGCCTTTTATCACCGGTTCAGGCTGGTGGTGTCATGGTGTGGGGGATCCATCCCGCTTTTTATCACCAGTTCAGGCTGGTGGTGAAGGTGGTGTCATGGTGTGGGGGATCCATCCTGCCTTGTATCACCGGTTCAGACTGGTGGTGTCATGGTGTGGGGGATCCATCCTGCCTTGTATCACCGGTTCAGGCTGGTGGTGTCATGGTGTGGGGGATAGTTTCTTGGCACACTTTGGGCCCCTTAGTACCAAGTGAGCATTGTTAAACACCACAGCATATCTGAGTATTGTTGCTGACCACATCCATCCTTTATGACACCAATGTCCCCATCTCCTGATAGCTCCTTCCAGCAGGATAATGCACCATGTCACAAATTCAAATCATCTCCAACTGGTTTCTTGAGATCACTGCACTCCAATGGCCTCCACAGGCACCAGATCTCAATCCAATAGAACACCTTTGGGATGCGGTGGAATGGGAGATTCTCATCATGAATGTGCAGCTGACAAATCCGCAGCAACTATGTGATGCTATCATGTCAATATGGACCAGAATCTCTGAGGAACGTTTCCAACACCTTGTTGAATCTATGCCATGAAGATTTAGGCAGTTCTGAAGGCAAAAGGGGGTCCAACCCGGTACCAGCAAGGTGGACCTAATAAAGTGGCCGGTGAGTGTTACTTACTGAGGTCATACAAAGTTTTGGATAGAAGAACATAGGTCCAGCCTCACCGCAAGCTTTGTATATTCTATGAGCATGAGACGTCACGCCGGGCTCTCGTTGAGCGTGAGATTATTATAGAAATCATTACGGCTTTCATCGTCCCCCGGAGACCCAGCAAAATAGACCATTAATCCCGCTTAATGCTCATGTCCTTCTCATTATGGAAGCCGTTCGGTAAGTGATGTGACAATATTGTAAATCAGCCTGTAGCTACTGCCTGCAAATCGCCAGAGTTGGGTGCACCTGGCAGAGGATCCGCAAATGGCAAGATTACAGACTTTTCAGTAACTTTATGAATCTGCAGGAATCCATTCCTGACAAATGACAATATGGAGCAACTGTATCTTTTTTTCACGTGTATTTTCTATGCATAGCTACATAGTTAGTCTGGCTGAAAAAAAGACAAAAGTCCATCCAGTTCAACCGTTAAAAAAAAAAGAAGTTATAATCCTATACCCACAGTATGCTGGTCAGTTCTATCTAGTGGCCATAATGTGTAATTTTCCTGCTTGTGGTGTTTCTGGAAAATACAGCATTCTGGCCACTAGATGGCGCTGTCAATCATAGGAAATACACATCTTTAGTGCCATGCAGTCATTTTTAGAAAATCTCTTTCCCCTTTTAATGCCTCTCCACTTTGCTGGACTTTTCTTGTTCTGTCCAAGTTTTTCACATTTCAGTGATCATGCACACTGAGCATTTTAATAACACTGGCAGCAAAACTTGTGTAAAGTCACATTAAAAACACGAGTTTTTCAGCATTTTTAGTGTTTTTGCATTAGCATTTTGCAGCATTTGCCTTTTTGAGCAGTTTTTTTTTTTTGCTCAAACAAAGTCCAAAAACGCTTGTTTGCTGCATTTTACCATTGTAAGCTCCCAGGATCAGAGCCCTCCTAACCCTCTTGTATTGAACTGTATTGTTGCTGTATTGTCTCCCGTTATATTGTAAAGTGCTGAGCAAACTGTTGGTGCTATATAATCCTGTATAATAATAATAATAATAATAATAATGTTTTGCCGCATTTTACCACATTTTTCAGCGTTAGTCCTCCTGCACACGGGACGTTTTTATAGCGGCTGTTTTTGGCTTTTGATGTTTTTTTTCTACAGCCAGTAAACCCCCGTGTTATCCTATGTGTCCATCCCCGGCATGTTATCCTGTGTTCTCCTGTTATCCTGTGTGTCCATCCCCGGCGTGTTATCCTATGTGTCCATCCCCGGCGTGTTATCCTACGTGTCCATCCCCGGCGTGCGTGTTATCCTACGTGTCCATCCCCGGCGTGTTATCCTACGTGTCCATCCCCGGCGTGCTATCCTACGTGTCCATCCCCGGCGTGCTATCCTACGTGTCCATCCCCGGCGTGCTATCCTACGTGTCCATCCCCGGCGTGCTATCCTACGTGTCCACCCCCGGCGTGTTATCCTACGTGTCCACCCCCGGCGTGTTATCCTACGTGTCCACCTCCGGCGTGTTATCCTACGTGTCCACCCCCGGCGTGTTATCCTATGTGTCCACCCCCGGCGTGTTATCCTATGTGTCCACCCCCGTGTTATCCTATGTGTCCACCCCCGGCACGTTATCCTATGTGTCCACCCCCGGCACGTTATCCTATGTGTCCATCCCCGGCACGTTATCCTATGTGTCCATCCCCGGCACGTTATCCCATGTGTCCATCCCCGACACGTTATCCCATGTGTCCATCCCCGGCATGTTATCCTACGTGTCCATCCCCGGCACGTTATCCCATGTGTCCATCCCCGGCACGTTATCCCATGTCCATCCCCGGCACGTTATCCCACGTGTCCATCCCCGGCACGTTATCCTACGTGTCCATCCCCGGCACGTTATCCTACGTGTCCATCAACCCGCACGTTATCCCCAACGTGTCCATCCCCGGCGTGTTATCCTACATGACCATCCCCGGCGTGTTATCCTACGTGTCCATCCCCGGCGTGTTATCCTACGTGTCCATCCCCGGCGTGTTATCCTACGTGTCCATCCCCGGCGTGTTATCCTACGTGTCCATCCCCGGCGTGTTATCCTACGTGTCCATCCCCGCGTGTTATCCTACGTGTCCATCCCCGGCGTGTTATCCTACGTGTCCATCCCCGGCGTGCTATCCTACGTGTCCATCCCCGGCGTGCTATCCTACGTGTCCATCCCCGGCGTGCTATCCTACGTGTCCATCCCCGGCGTGCTATCCTACGTGTCCACCCCCGGCGTGTTATCCTACGTGTCCACCCCCGGCATGTTATCCTACGTGTCCACGGCGGCGTGTTATCCTACGTGTCCACCCCCGGCGTGTTATCCTACGTGTCCACCCCCGGCGTGTTATCCTACGTGTCCACCCCCGGCGTGTTATCCTATGTGTCCACCCCCGGCACGTTATCCTATGTGTCCACCCCCGGCACGTTATCCTATGTGTCCATCCCCGGCACGTTATCCTATGTGTCCATCCCCGGCACGTTATCCCATGTGTCC